GCTGCTCGAGCTGCTCGCGTAGTGCATCCTGCTCTCTCAGATTTTGTTTCACTTGTTCTGAGTCATGCTCTTCGTTGTTTCCCTTCCCCTGTTGCTGAAGACCGTTTACGATTGCCGCGGCATGGACGGCTCCTGCTGTCGCTACAAATCCAGCTGCGGCTTCCTCGGCTTTTTCTTGAGCCTCCTTGTGCTTTGAGAGTGCCTCAGCTGCCTCCTTCGCTAGGCGTTTAGCTGTCGTTTCGGCTTCCACTATTTTGGCGGGCAGAGTTTCGTCGACTTCGGAGTCAGTGACCGGTCTCTTCTCGCCTTCGTTCACCTTGTCATCAACCAAAGATTCATACCTCATCGCATTCGCAAGATCTTCCTGCTTCTTACGCTCTTTTGCTTTCTTCGTGCGCTGTGTCTTAGATGCCTTTTCACTCTTCGGCTTGCCGTTGATGCCCAACGACGCCTTCGTAGCTCTACTATCATCGTTCTTACCCATGGCTGGATTGTTGCCCGTAGATTGACTCGAGTGTGGCTTACTACTGGATTGTGTCTTCGGCTTCTCGCCCAGCAATGCTGATCGCTCTCGTTACTGCTGAGTCACGTTGAAGCTCGCTCTGCCGAAGTTGACTTTCCCGCCTACTGAGTTGTGCAAGGCATCCGACTTTGACCCTGCCTTGGTCGCTTATTTGACCTTGGTGCTTTGCATTGCGCTTGTCTCTTCGGCCTGTCTGGTGGTCGCCACTTCTTTTTCCTCATCCTCGGTCTGTTCCAAGAGTGGTCCCTTTGTCGAAAAGGTATTCAACTTCCCCATCATAGTAGTCAGTCTCTCAGCTGAGTCCATGATGTGCTTATAACGCTCTTTCAAGGCCATATGTTTCAACTTCATTGGCTTGATCGGTTCCTCTCGGGCTAAGTTATGCGAGAAGTCGCGATGGTACTTCTTCATTTTCTTCCCAGCGTTAGGACATACCGTGCCGGAATGGTTGATGTCATAACAAGCAATGCATGGAATGCGTGATGGAACATGACGTGGTGAATGAAGATAGAGGACTTGCCAGCCGAAATGTGGATGACATTCTTCAGTTGTGGTGGGCAATTCTCGGATTTGAAGATCATCAGAAAGTAATTCAAATCGTAGGCCTTGGAGTTAGCCAGGGTCTGTCTCGCGATTGTGGCGATGCCGCAATCTGTGCCAGTACCGATGATTTGCATCACTTTGAAGGCGGTCAGGTCGTCAA